GAACAGGTTTTTTACATCAATTATTGATATGTTGAACTTTAAGTCCCTACAGAATATGATAAAAAAAATTTAAAAATTAGAATATATTTTAAAAATAGCTATAAAGAATTATATATTTCTTATCTTTACACATAAGTCCAAAAATCTAACCATATACAACCTTGAAGCAGGACAGTCCCACAATATTCCTTTTCCTGTCTCTTGATTTCATTCACCACCCTCTTCTTCTTGAACAACAATCTACCTGAGAGACATCATAGCAGCAACTGGCATGTCATGACAAACAGCCCATATTCAGAAGACCAGAATGACAGGCACTCCAAGCATGAAACTACTATTACAGGTTACCATCTGCAGTGCAGTTGCTTAGTTCACAGGTATCAGTATATACAGTTAGCCAGGGTGACAATCTTTCCAATTAACTGCTAGATTCAAAAATCTGGAGATTCTCAGGATCATTGACTTGCCCATCTTCTGCATAAAAATCTTTGCCTGTCTTGGGAAATGACATTTTCTCATATCAAAAAATATTTAATTAGAGCTTCAGGCTTTGAAATAAGAAATTGCTCTCAGAGATAGACAACAGTGTATTTTCACATGAAAAAAATTATAATATAGCATATGTACAATATAATTTTTCAGAACTGTTTTTACAAAATTTTATCTTAAGTGTACATTCTGAAATCACACTGGAAAGGTTAGTCTAAAGACTACTTATATTTGCTGTTCCCTGAATGCAGGCTCATTTGTTGAATTATTTCTCACCCATTCTGACTTCTAATTTCTGCAAGGAAGTCTTCTAAATTTCCAGAATTAAAGTGCCATTAGGAACTGGCTTTGTTTCCTGGATACCTCATCAGCCTCATCAACTCATCAATCACCATTAACAGAGCATTTCAAGGATTTATTTCCATCGTTATCCCCATATCTCAAGACCACGTCCTGGCAGTTTCAAAAGAAAGGAAAAGCAAAAGCTGTAATGCAATCAGTTTTCCTTTTAATGAATCTCTGCACCAAACCTCTTCTGAAAAGTACTTGTGGGGTCAACATCATTAAGACCACATGACGGGATGCCAGAAAATGGAAAATGCGCAAGGGTCATGCTGAAATGGTGTAGCTGTGCCAAGGGAAGAGTGAGCTGAGAGCCAAATCTAGCTTAGACTGTGGAAAACTTGCCTGATTCCCCTTATATCCACCAGTATCTTTCTGGTGGATACCAGTAGCTGATTCCCCTTATGCCACCAGTATCTTTCTTGGCATAAAGCTAAGCACCACAAACAAGGACCTTTCACTGAGTCCTCTTTGGCTTGTTCAGGGGAAGCAACTGGCAACCCATGAATTGGATGGAGCCAGCACTTCTGTTCTTGGTAGGGACTGAGGAGGTGTTAATGGGCAGAGGCATCCTGGTTTTTACAGCTCTATGGTGCGAACATTTCCTAAAATCACATAGAGTCATTGTGGGTTCTACTGTGAAGACTAAGGCCTTGCCACACAAGATGTGGCCCTCCCATCAGAGGATCTGGGAACAGATTAGAGATGCAGAGACTCAAGCCCACCAAATTTGAATTGCATTTTATCCAGAAATTCCTATGTGCATGTAAGTTTGAGAAGCACTGGCCTCAGACACAAATGCATTTCATTTAAGAAAAAATACCAGGGGGCCAGGGAGATGGCTCAGTGGAATAAGCACTTCCCTGGCAAGTGCAAGGGCCTGAGTTCAATCCCTGGTTCCACAAAAAAAAAAAAAAAAAAAAAAAGTACCAGATAATGCTGAGGCGGGAGTGCAGAGGAGGTGCAAGAAGCCGTGTGCACTCTGCTGTCGCCCCTATCCAGACCCCGGGAGCCACTTTCATTTTGTTTTGTTTTCTGTATGGGGCTTCCCAAGCTAAGCAATGCCTTACCCAAGGTGTTCCCCAGCCTGTGCTGAGGTTCTCAAGCAAAACCCCACCCATGCTCTCCAATGCAGCCGCCTTGGTGTTTGGTGCAGGACTGCAGCGGTGAGCTAGGCGGAGTGTGCTACAGTGAGCGCCGAAGGACCAGGTGGGGCCAGCTACTCCTGACCAGCGAGGTGCAAGCCTTTCACAAAATCCCTTAGCTTTGGGGGATGGAATTACATTTATTTGAGAAAATGAAGCTGTCTGAAAGGGTTGAATACTTCAGGTACTGGAAAAAGTTTAGACTACTCTAATTTAGAAACACCATGCCCTCAAAAACCCCTTGAGGGTTGGTGAGACAGCTCAGTGGACTAAGCGCCTGCTCAGGCAAGCAGAGGGACCAGGGTTTGATCTCCCGCACCACATGCTGTGCCAGCCCCAGCCCTGGGTGCACTGAGCCAGCCCCCAAGACTAGGTGTGGGGGTACATGCCTGTAATCCCAGCACTGGGGAGGCTGAAAACAGGAGGATCACTGCAAGTCCAGGCTGCGTAGTGAAACCCTGTACAAATGCGGGTGGGGGACACTGTGGACAGAGCTGACACCAAGCATGGGGGTGTCATCAGAAACTGGCGGGAAGCGGGCGCTTCCCAGGGAAAGGCGCGGAGGCTTAGCTACAGGAGTCTGAAAGTAGTTGTTGCTTGGAGCATAATTACTGCCGTGATCTCAGGTGCGGTGACTTCGATCGAAATGCTTCTACGCAGTAGAGAGCCCCCAAGCCCTGTACCCACAATGCACCAGGGATAACAAGTGGGAGCAAAAGCCGAAACATGAGCACTGCTCTTCTGGGCATTTTAAAAATGGGGCTCTGAAAAAACAAAACAAAACAAAAAAAACCAAACCAAAAACGGGGCTCTGGCAAACCTGTCCTCTGCCCCCATGTGGGACATGCCAGTGCCCTGGACCACGAGGAAGCCTCCCTGCTAACCGTGCTCCACTTTATCCATATGTGGTTTACTGAGAGATGGAGGCCATGTGCACAAACAAGCGTCCTGCCCAGGCAGACATGACGACCTGCGCAGGCATCAGGAGACTCAGGTGCGGGGCGCACTGGCACCCACGGCAGGAGCATAGGACAGTGACAGTAAGAAGCGTGCTCCACGCGCCTGCTTCTCTCCACAGGCCACCCCACCCGAGAGCACTGGTACATGCAGCCCTCAATCCCGAGTATGTGGTAAGCCCGGAGCTAATGGGGGCTGGCCACATGCATGGCAGCTGGCCACAGGTTCCCCAGCGGGGGCACACACCGAGTGAGGTGAGCACAGTCATTGCTCCACGCTTCCTACGCGTGAGGCAGAACCGGCAGCCGCCTTTCCTGCGCATAGCTATCAATCAAAGCAGAATGTCCAGAGGTGGCCATACCCTTCGGGGGCTGGCTGAGACGGGTACTACGAAGCCTCTTGACAGTTCTTTAACAGCCTTGTCTGGCTGGGAGGAAGTCTGATGAAAGCTGCTTAGGGCTGGGCTATCAGGAACTGAAGAAAGGGCTCGGGCGCTGTTGGCAGCTGCGCTTTCTTGGTCATTGCTTTCCGGTGTCTCTGCTGCAGAAGACAGTCAGGAGCAACTTGCTGTCCAGGGGGAAGGCCAACAGTGGACTGTCAGTGTCCTCCCCACAGAGTCTGCGGAGCCTGACCCTGTCCCCTGGATTGCCAAGTGCGGGCAGACTCGGCACCGTGGGCAACACCAAACCCAGTGTCCACGCTTCGTGGTGTTCATGATCTAACACGACCTTCTGAGTATCCTCCAGACCTAGAGGAGGCATCGTCAGTGCAAGTAACACAACTTTTTTTTGGTGGTACCAGAAATCAAACTCAGGACCTTGTGCTTCCCAGGCAAGCACCTATTCCACTGAGCTATCTCCCCGGCCCCCAGTAATGCAACTTTGATGAAAAGGAGGGGCCATCACTACCTCCACATTTCGAGGACCCCGGTCCTAGGCCAGGGGCTGGGGGTTATTTATTTATTTATTTATTTATTTTTTGCGGAACCAGGGATTGAACTCAGGCCCCTGTGCTTGCCAGGGAAGTGCTTATTCCACTGAGCCATCTCCCCGGCCCCTGGCTGGGGGTTATTTTCCAACCAAACAAAAGCGATGCCCTCTCCTGGTACAGATCAGCGTCGTGGCTTGAGTCAAGATGTCCCCCCAAAGCCTCATGTGGTCATAGGTCAAGCTTTGCTAAGGTGAATGTTACTACTTAGCCACTGCCACTTTTTTTTTTTTTTTGTGGTACCAGGGATTGAACTCAGGACCTTGTGCTTGCCAGGCAAGCACCTATTCCACTGAGCCATCTCCCCAGTGCCGAGCTTTGCTAAGGTGGCTGGAGCTAGAGTGTGATTCTGGCCCATGGGTGTGCTGCTGGGACTGATCCCTGGTGCAATGCCAGGATTAAGGGCACCCCACCCTGGGGCGAGTGCTGCCTGGGGGCAGGCAGTCTGGTGCAGTATTAGGAACAGCAGGGAAACTGCTGTAACTGCTCAGTGCGGCTGCTTTGCCGTCCTCTGCCGGCCATGAGCTGCTTCTCCCCTGCTGTGCCCGCCTGCCTTGGAGCCAGCCAACTATGGGCTGAAACCTCTACACTGTGACCCAAATAAACCCTCTATAACTTCGGGTGTTGGACGCTTTGTCTCAGCAACAAGAAAAGTAACAAGACGATCGGTGTAGGTGCTTCCCACCACAACCGCCCCAAACCATCACAGGTCTTCTTGGGGGGCACGACCACTCACCTGCGCCACAGTTGGGGTAAATACCACGGTCATCAGGTAAAGGGAGGCAGCCACTGGATGGGGCCTGAACACCGCCAAGCAAAAGCCGCTGGAAACGGTGGCTGGCCTTGGCTCTTGGTCCCGCAACCGCCCTGAGAGTTCAGTTTCTAGCTCTAAGAAGTAAACATTTCCAGCGGCTGGGTGGCTGGCTGCTTGGGAGGCTGAGCGTGAGTACCTGCGACGCGTCCTGTGTAAGGGGGCGACTAAATTTTGTGCTACAACTGTGGGCAATTATTAGGAGCAACTCGTGCTTCCCGTTACCTACGCTAAAGAATGTGCTCTCTGCTCAGGGCTGTTTAACAGTGTATAACCGTTCCTTGTCAAGGCAGCAAGCGGAAGCAAATCCCCCAACCATCTCCTGTAAGCACAGTCAGCTTAGGAGGAATCTTGTAAAAATACGCGCTTATCGCTAATCTGTAAAAGACCCCTAAGTTACAAACAGTTTGCAGCTGCGTCGTCACTCACATGAATGTAGCTTTCTGTTCTGCACCAGATACCAAATCCACTTACCAAACAGGATGTGATTTTTGTTATAAACACCCTCTGCTGCCTGCCTTCAAGGTCACTCAGTCTTCTGCATGAGAGCTGGCTAAGGACCCTGAGCTCATGAATAAATGGCTCTGCTCAAATTTTAATTTGATCTTTGATCTGGTTCCTGTGCTGAGTGACCCATAACATCCTGGGCCTGAGGAGAGCGTGGAGTCCTGGCCTGTGATTCCACACCTGCCTGCTTTTCTGTGGAGGTCCCCAAAGGTCCCCAAACTAAGGAAGAAAAGGATAGTAGGTGTGACTCACTCTGCTAACTCTGACTGGAAAAGTACTGGCTGCTAAGAAGGTACCTGCCTGTGGTTTAATCATTTTGCCTTTATTATTATTATTATTATTATTATTATTATTTTATGTATTTGGTCCAGGGTCTCACTACACAGCTCAGACTCATAGTGAGCCTCCTGGCTTCAGCCTCCCCAGGGCTGGGATTACAGGCGTGCGCCACCATTCTCGGTCTCATAAGCCGGCTCAGCACACCTGGGGGCGGAGCTGGGGCGGGATTGTTTTCCTTTAAACCCACAGACAATTTATAGAGGAAACAACCCCAGGGTATAGTCTAACAAAATCTAAAAGACCGCACCCCCATATTCACCCAGTGAGAAATGGTGTGTATGTGTGTGTGTGTGTGTGTGTGTGTGTGTGCGTGTGTGTGTGTGTACATGCGTGCCAGGGATACACTGCCCTGTGACCACCCGGTCCTGCCTGTCTGCTAGCTGGCTCAGGTTTTCGCAAGATGGAGAAATAGTATACAAACTTTTTTTTTTTGGCGGAACCGGGGATTGAACTCAGGCCCCCGCGCTTGCCCGGGAAGCACTTATTCCACTGAACCATCTCCCCGGCCCCTACAAACTTTATTTATTGTGGTACTGGGGATTGAACTAAAGATCTTGCACTTGCCAGGCAGGCACAAGCTGCTGAGCTATCTCCCCGGCCCAAGATGGAGGAAAAAAGTCTCACTCTCCGTCCTCATCTGGTGTGTTCGTTGCAAGTGAGCAAAGAGGAGCGGGGCTTTCTGCACCTGTGGGCCAGACACTGGGAGAGGAGAGAAGGGTCGCACCCCAGCTTCCGATGGGCTGCTCCGCCTGACTGCTCTGTCCTTCCTTACACAGAAGCTGCAGGGAGACTTTCAGAGGAACACAGTGAACGCGAGAAGTACCGCAGGAGCCCCGCCAGCCAGGCAGCCTCGTGCGTGGGCGGCGGTGGAGCTGGCTGCGCTCCTGGGTGGCTGGACACACGGGAGGCTGAGCGCAAGCATTGAGATGTGTCCTGGGCGTGAGGCGAGCGCGGCGTCCTGACTGGGACTCCATCCTTGCTGAGGGCGCTGGTCAGCGAGGGCTAGAGTTTCTGGAGGGGTGCAAGAACGTTCCAATGGGCGTGCAGAGTACACAGGGACACTCAGGCCCAGCGCCCAGCAGAAACGCGGAATGAAGATGCTAGGCCTCCGAAAACTAAGGGAAGAGAAGACCAATTCTTCAGCGCTTCCCCCAGACAGTGCCCTGGGGGAAATGCTAAGGGGGGGACACAGTTCCTGCTCCCGGACTCAAGAGAAACAAAAGGTGGCAAAGTCCGCTGAGCCAATTTGAAACTGCATCTAGTCTAGCGGTGTGGTGGCGCCCAACTGTAACCCTCGCACTCAGGAGGCTGAGAAGGGAGGGTCACCACAGGTTAGAGACCAGCCTGGGCTATGCAGTGAGTGCAAGGTCAGCCTGCACTGTGCAGCAAGACCTAGTCTGGAGCCCCATGTTCCCTCGCCTGGAACAAGGCCTAGATCCCGCTCCAACTTACTAGTGCTTCATGGCCCCCAGAGACGGAGAAGAGCTTGAGGAGGGGTAAGAAGAGGAGAAAGGGTGCGTGTAGGGAAACCAGTCTAGGCGTCCCAGCCAGGTTCCCTGCATGCCTCACCACCCCACCCTGCCCAGCTGAAGGAGCTGCAGGCAGCTGGGGGGACAGGGCAGGAGTTATGCGGCTCCCGCCACACTCTGGCCATCAGGGCTGAGGGCAATTGGTCTGCTACCCCACAGAGGAGGAAAGGGGGGTGCAGAAGCATGGCAGTTTCTGTGAGCAGGCCCTGTCCATTAGTTCTAAATTTGAGCTGTGTGTGCTGGGGAGACTGTGCCTTGTCACCTGTCCCCACCTCCTGCCATGGCAGCCCGTGAGCTCCACTGGGCAGTGGCTGAGCAGAAGAGGGGTGAAAAGTCTACACCAAACCTCCTGCCTCTATGTGCAGAAGCAGGCCTTCCTGTGGTCCCCTGAGCCCCTCCTGTCCCTCGGGTCTGCAGAGCTGTCGTTCCTCCTCCTCCTCCTCCCAGGTCCCCTGCCCCAGCACCCAGGGCCTCCTCCATGCCCCCACGGAGTTCAGGGGTGGTCTCTCCACTCTGGATGCACAGGTGGGGTGCCAGGCCTGATGTCCAACATGTGGCTATACTGGATGCTGGAACCCCCGTCTCCTCCCTGCAGTGAGGTGTGACCAGCAGCAGACGGTGCCTGGCCCCGAGCAGGTGGCTGCCCTCTTCCGGCGCACACGTGGGCAGCGCTCGCTTCTGAGTATTCGCCCTTCCACAGCAGAGCGTGCGGCAGAGAGCCAGCCTGCGAGCCTTCACGGCACACTCCTAGCCCACCTCTAGCCCACCTGAGCTGTGTGAGGGTCCTTCAGGGTGCAGCGTCCGTTCACTGAGTTTACCTGGGATCTTACTTCTGGCCTTAGGCCTTTTAGGGTCTCAAGGGCTTAATCCCACAGCCTTGGGCCACCTTCCTGCATCGCAGGCTGTGGTAGCGGAACGCAACAGCCCGTGCTCCTGGAATTCAGGGCCATCGAACCTGCTGCGCACTAAGAAGGGATGAGGCACCCTGGAGAGGGGGGAGCAGTAATAAAACTGAACTCAAACAGGATCACAGTGGAAAAAGATGTGTCCTGAGGATCCCAGCTCAAATACCAGGATGTAGCTGGGCGTGGCGGAGCAGGCCTGTGAACCCCAGCACTTGGAGGTTGAGGCCGGAGAATCACCATAGGCAGGAAAACAGCCTGGACTATGCAGTAAGTTCAAGGCCAACCTGAACTTCGTAGTAAGATCCTGTCTCAAAAAAGAAAAAAAAATGTAGGATTTTAACTTAAGAGCATGCGACAGAGAAACAAGGCCAGATCTAGGCCGTGCGATCCAACCTGGGGATTCACGCAGCAGCCCGAAGCGTCTTCATTACTCACTGGAAACCTGGGCCAGGGTCAGGCGGCAGGATGGCTGCACGGTGTAGGCCAGCCAGGGCTACGCAGGGAGACTTGGTGTCAGAAAAGAAGAAAAAGGGCTGCAGAGGTAGCTCGGTGGTCTAAGCACCTGCCTGGCAAGTGCTGATATCCCCAGTACCACATGACATGCCACCATGCCTACCCTGCACTGTGCTAGCCACCAAAACCAGGTGTGGTGGCGCACACCTGTGATCCCAGAACTGAGGAGGCTGAGACAAGAAGATCACTGTGAGTCTGAGCTGCATAGCCAGACCCTGTATCAAATAAATAAATTTAAATATATGTGTATGTATATGTATATGAATATATATATATGAAAAAGGTTCAACATCATGAGTCCTTTGAGAAATGCAAATTAAAACAACACTGAGATTCCATCTCACCCAGAAAAAATGGCTATAATTTTTTTAAAAATCAACCAAAAACAAATGCTGGAGGGGCTGTGGGGAAAAGGAACCCTTCTCCACTGTTGGTGGGTGTGTAGACTGGTGCAACCATTGTGGAAATCAATGTGGAGATTCCTCACAAAACAGGATTAGAGGTCCTCTTGGGCCCAGCTAGTCCCCTCCTGGATATTTTCCCAGAAGAACTAAAAACATCATAATACAGTAATCTATCTATCTATCTATCTATCTATCTATCTATCTATCTATCTATCTATCCATCCATCCATCCATCCATCCATCCATCCATCCATCCATCCATCCACCTACCTACCTACCTACCTACCTACCTACCTACCTACCTACCTATCTATCTCCATGTTTATAGCAGTCGATTTCTCATAGCTAAATCTTGGAAGCAACCCAAATGCCCATCAACTTCGGACTGAATAAAAATGATGTAGTAGTTTTATACAATGGAGAACTACTCAGATATAATGAAAGATAAATTCAAGGATTTTATAAGTCAGTGGATGCAACTAGAGACCATACTCCTAAGTGAAATCAGCCCGACTCACATGCATAAACATCATATTGTCTCCCTAGTGTAAGAAACTGAAAGAGGAAATAAGATCCAAAAGGTACAATAGATATAGTGAAAGGGAAAGAAAATGCTCAAAAGGAAAGAACAACGCGGATGGGATAAAGGAGAGAAGCAACAAGGGGCAAAAAAATATATATGTATATAAATATATCTACATATCTCTATCTATGTATCTATCTATATCCACACGATGGCTAAGATAATTATGTTATTAATT